ACGTCACTTGTGTCATTTTGTTGATTTCTCCTATATTTCACTTCATTTCCACCGTGTCGACCCCGATCAGTCCTTCTAACTTAAGAAAGTTAGAATTATTGATTACGTGACGAATACGAATAGAATTGGCATAGATTGTTGATCTTGAGTTGGTAAAATTACAAATCACCATCCACATTCGTAAGAAAACAAAAGTAATGAGAGTATCCCCCAAATTATGTGAGTGGCATGTCCATTTCGCGACTTAAATGAGTTCAACTTATTGAATATCGGGGCCCGAAAGATTCGTGGCTACTCATACTCGTTTTCTTGTCAATAACAACACAAGTGTCGTTATATGAACAGTAACGGCGCTTGTGTCATTCCCATTAATAAGGTTATGTTATTATAAGGTCACTTGTGTTGTTTTATTTAACTTTTCAATATCAGTAACGGCACAAGTGTCATTCTCGTAGCCTTATAATTTTTAATATAATGACAATTATACTGTTTTAAACATTAACGGCACAAGCGTCGTTCTCATGAACAAAACTTGACCAAAATAACGATCGAATTACTGTTATCATAGAAATGCATACGCCCATTTAAATGAAAGACATAAAAACTGTAACTACAATTAATATTCAACTTGAAGCAAACATGTGCTTATCACGTGACCTCAAACATGGATTCCCTAACTTAAGAAGTTAGAAGGTTGATCACGTGACAAAGAACGACTGAATTGACATAAGTTATTCTATTATTTTCAATAAAATACAAGTAATAAGCATATCTCGTAATTTTTTTAAATGCCATAATCAGTTTGCAAGTTAAATGAGTTCAACTTAATATTTCACCAGGTAGGGACGAGTCCTAGTTGCTTAAACTCTTAATGATAGACAGAACGGCACAAGTGCTGTTTTATTATCAGTAACGACACTTGAGCTGTTATATTGATTTCTCATTTATTTTCGTTTGTTTTCAACGCAACGACCTTTAGAATTGGACACCCTAAATTGTGCAGTTCTCATAGTAATAATAGAAGTTTATATTTATGTACGTCACTTGTGCTGTTCTTTTAAATTTTTTCATTTCAGTAACGACAATAGTACCATTTTTAAGGACCTTCAATATACTGTAAATAGCACTTGTGCCATTCTCATGGACACTTATAAATCAAATATAATGGCAGTTTGTAGTTCTCATAAATGTTTCAGCTCAGTAACGATACAAGTGACATTTTCAAAGAGAAGTAACGTTCTCATTTTAGTAACGGCACAATCGTCGTTTTCATAAACAAGTAAATTTACAATTATAACGGCGTTTTACCGTCATTGGGATGCAAATTAACAATTAATGAGCACATTACTTAAAAGACATTAATAAAAATGTAGGAAAAATCAACAGAACAGCACAAGTGTTGTTATTAATATGAAAACGACCATTGTATCATTATAGGGTTGTTTGAGCCATTTTTTTTCAAAAAATAATTTTTGTAAGTGTTATGATGAGAACGTGTGGTTAAAAAATAAGAAAAAGTTTTGAATTTGCGTATAATATTATTTTATTGAAAAACGTGTGGTTAAGATATGATCAAATTACTGTTTAAAAATGCATTTTGATAAAAAAAATGAGGCTCAAACAAGGGCTATACGTATAAAAATGAGTAAAAGTAGCTACGTCTTATCTATGTCCTGAGAACCAATAGTGAAACTCATTTATGTTATTTATGACATTGTCAAACTTTCCATATTACACATGTCAGGGAGTCCATTATTAAATATTGTTTTGTTGAAAAAATTGAATATAGGTGAAAATTTCAGAACGATGCAAGTGTTGTTACTGGATATGAAAACGACACTTGTGCTGTTACGTGTATAGAAATATGAGTATAAGTAGTCAAGGTCCATTCGTTCCTTGAAAAATAATAGGTGAAACTTATTTATATTGTAATATGTATAAAAGTTGATAGATATGTTTATTAATTTAATCGATACATATAAGTAATAACTTATATTTTCATCATCCCAATAATATAAATGTTATGTCATTTTAATCGTTCTTCGTGATTAGTCAATCTTTTGTGTTATATACGTTAGTGAGTCAATTATTAGAGTCATTTCATTGAAAAAATCAAAATATAGTAGATAACGACTGAAGTGATGTTCTATATTTCAAATAGCATTTGGAGTGTTATTACATTCAATGGTTGCAGATAACACAAAAAATACATTAAATACAAAAATAATACCAACTAAATATTA